CCGGGGGAGAGGCCGGCCGGCCGGCGACCAGCGGTTACTTATCAGCGCGACGCTTTGCATTTCGATTTCCTTGTTGCTTGGGTGCAGCTGAGGTGTCTCGGCGCGTCTTTGGGCATGAAAATATATTTTCTGCTCTTCGGCTTTCCGTTCCCAGGTCAGCGAAGTTAGCGGCGTCTTTAGAAGGTGCTGTGCAGCCTCTTCTCTTCCAAAACACCTCCGGAGCGTGTCTTCGCGTTTTCTGCTTGCCCTAGCTGCTGACAGTAACTTTAATGTAGAGCCTGCAAGTTACACTGGATGGAAGGGACTAAGCAGAAGCAAATAGAGCAATATTTATTTTAGGAAAGGGAGAAGTGAACAGATTGTTCCTCGTGCATAGGAATGTAGGAAAATTACAGTCTTACAAGCAGCACTTGAGTTTCATTTAACAAATGAAAAGGTCGCCTTTTCTGCTAGGCAGTACTAGTTACCTACAAACGGTAGTTAAAAAATCCACCGTTACTCTTCCTTATGTCATAAATATATTATATATAGGATTTTGGTTTGTTTCTTAACGTTCTGGAGGAGGCGTTAAGGATCCCATGAGTCTGGAGCCTGCTTTCACTTTTCCCTTAAACTGACAATTTCAGTTTCATGACATTGACATTCACCGTGAAACAAGCAGATAGAGCTTTAAGGGCGTCATTCATCATTTAGTTAATATTTTAGCTGACACGAGCGTTGTTTGAAATGAGTGTTCCAGAACAGAATTCATATGGTCTATAGCACCTAACTGAAATCTATCTAGCGGCGCATAAAACATTTTACCCGAGATGTCATTGGGCTGAATTTCATTTGAACTGCTAAAATTGAAGTTATCGTTGAATTTGATGTGAAAATTAAAACTGAAGCTTTATCATCTCTGCGGTTATGGTGGTACAGGATTGAGAGCGAAGGAGGTGATGTAAATTGCCCCTGGCAATCTAGCAAGTCTTTAAAGAGCTGGAAGTAGAACTGGGCTTGCTGTTTGTAGGCTTACATCTAGGCTAGCTCTTTAGTCTGGGAGTGAGAGTCAGTGTTGCAAGAACCTGGAGTCACTAGGTGGTTTTTTTCCTCCTCCCACTGCCTTCACCTGAAGCCTGCAGTGCTTTCACACCACTTGTGGGGAAGGCTTGTCCTTTAAGACGGGGCTCTTCAGAACTACGTGTGCCCAAGGATTTATTTGTTGGAGTAGATGGGGGTTTCGCTTGAAATCGGAGCCTACATTCTACTTGATGTCCTGGCTCAGGCAACCTAGATTCAATTTAAAGTAGCTCCATGCCTAGCTAGGACAAGGATAATCTTAAGCAAGGATCTGAAAAAGTAACATGCAGCAAAGGTTTACTATAATATCCATTTTATAGCTGTTCAGCTAGGTCTAGAACTTTTATATATGTTTCCAGTTTTAAGTCTGAGTTTATCAGAGCTTTAAAATACAAAAAAAAAAAAAAAATCAAAAGAGAAACAAAGTTAATTTGTTCCATCTCCCCCGCCCCCAGCCTCACTTCTTTATACAATATGGGCGTATTTTAGGTAAGCGAAGGGATTCGTTTTAGTTTAAAGTCTACTGTGATGTACCCTATTGTCTGCTTAAGTTCATTCTGCTGCCATTTCGCCAGCTTAAACTAATGGTTGAGCAGCTTCCCTCTCAGACACTTGCCCTATTTTAGAAGCAGGAAGTTCATTTTGCGAGCGTGTTGCAGAGCTACCTGAAATGGCAACGAGGGCCAGGAAGTAGGTCAGTTTGCAGAAAGTCGTATTTTCATGCTTCTGCAAATGAACATCCTGCCACTCTGCTGACACCGCTTTGAAACAAAACAACTCTGAAAACTCAGCAGCAATTGAAATGCTTGACGTTCGAATTAGTTGCTCCACAGCCCGTTTCCTGTGCTCCACTCCCCATTTTAATAGTTCAATTTAAATGCTCTGTATTTTATTGCTGCAGAAGGGAGGCAGAGCTAGGGATGCTTCAGAGAAGTGAACACTTTTCACTTGCAGCATTTGTGGCTGGTTTTGTGACAACGTTTGATTGAAATGTAGAGTCATTTCTCTGCTGATTTAATTTTTCCTTCCAAGTGGACAAATCTGTGGAAGACTAAAAGTCTCTCTTGTCATATTTTTTTTTTTTCACAAGGATCTGTTTGTGAGACTCCGTTGATCTAAAATTCAACCCATTAAAACAGTGGTCCTTTTTATGAGGGTTCCGTGTACAATTCTGCAGCCACAACGTTGTTGCATAAATTGATAAGATAACTGCGGTTTATGGCTTTTTAGAGGCCTTATTTTTCCATATGCTGAAGCACTTTATCAAAGGAAATCTGTTCATCCGGGGAGTTAATTCGCAGGATGTATTCTGGTGCAGTCCCCCCACTGAGCTGGTACGTATTTGTGAGTGCTTTAGCAGGGTGATACGCCTGTACTCGTGCTTAGGGCTTTCTTAGAAGAGCACATGGTGTCATTTCAGAAGTCTTTCAGCCATTTAAGGCTGGTCCTAGCAAAGTCCACAGAGGACATCAAGCAGCGGTGTCCGTCCTAATTACTGCTACGTTATCTTCATCACCATCCGGATTTCTGACAGTGAAATCTAACAAGATTATGGCAGCAATGTGTCCTAATTACGGTTCTTCAAATAGTGAAATTTTTCAGACAGTAAGAGCTACATTTTTAGGATTGCTAACCTTATCTAAAAGCAGAAAATTAGGAGAAAATAGTGTGACATTCTGTATTGTATCACACAAGTTACTGACTTTTTAGTTTTTCATCTGTATTGCATAATTGCTTATGACATAAAGAATGTATATATATTTTTTGAAGCAGATGCTAATTTGGAAGACAGTCTCTTCATCTGAAGCTCAATCCAGTTAAGGCAGAGCTGTTACTAGGTCCTGTTGAAATAAGGCAATATAGCCTTTGTATAGAAGGGTCTTTATTTCCTTTCATGGCTTGCTTTAAATCATGTGACAAATACCACAGACAACAATTTCTAATTAAACCAGGGAAGACTGTTGAGAGAAGCAAGTTATTTACGGCTCTGGCAATAATTCAGCTGGAGTAGTTGAATATATACGCATTCCTTTGTTTTACTACTCAAAATGAAAAGTAGAAGAAGTAGTCAGAGTTATAATGAGCACCGTTCTGCACTCATCTTCAATACATGTCTAGTTGAGCAAGAAAGGCTTATTGCACAGCTTTATTAGCTGTGCTTATTGGAAGAAATGTGACAGCTTTATTACTCTAAGGGAGAGGTATTAATTTTGTGACATTTCCTGGTTTGAGTCTTCCAGGATGATTCTATTCCCTTTGGTCCTATGAAAGCCATAAAAGATTGGATTATGAAAGCCATAAACCCTTACTAGTTTCTACTGAATCAATACCTAGACCGCCTGGATTCTAACAATGCAAGACATGTATATTGGATTTCAGCACACGGTGCAGTTTTACTACTTTTAAGAGGAGAATGGGTTTTTCTTTCCCAGCTGTAAAGTTTGCAGATGTTCAGGCATTTTCCTTACAGTTGGCCTTTTCGCTTAGTTATTGTATCAAAAAAAACGAAAACAAAACACAAAAACCGCCAAAAAACCCCCAAACAGCACCTGCTGAAATTTTGATGGTTTCATTCGGAGGCTCTGTCTGACTTCTCTGGTTCATTTTGGCACTTTCCCTCACCTCCACGTTCGTGTCAGTTTCCAGCTTTTTCCTTTGTGTGTCCACAGCACCTTCTGCACTCTGAGCACATCAGTGGCTTTTTCAAAGTCCATGAGGCATAACGAACTCCGGAGGCAGTCCCGTGGCAGTTGATGTAATTGATTTACTGCTCCATTTGTCGAGGGATCCGCCTCTCATCCTTCATGCCGTTTGCTGTGGGCAGTGGCATCTCCCTCAGCCAGCCCTCAGCCCCGCACAAGCTGCATCACAGGGCGTCCCGCAGGAGGGGTCAGACACTCCTTACCTGGGGGGCTGTGCTGTAGGTTTCCATCCAGTTACCCTGTCACTTGGTGCAGTCATTTCTTACTCTTTCTCTAGCTGGCATTTAGGTTTCTGATTACTGGCAACGATCAGGAAAAAAACATTGAGGAATGTCACCAGAAAGAGTGGCTAGCCAGCATTCCTGTTCTTTAGAGAAGTGCAGGTGGAACAGTTACATTTTTACAGATGCCCATGTGAAGTTTGCGCTGCTTCCTGAGTACGTTTGGGATTACTCTGCTCGGTTACACCGAAACAAATTTTACCTTACAAAACTGTTTCTGTTTCGACAATGCACGCCTGGATTTCTGCCTAATCGTGGCACTTCCTAGCACTCACAGGGTTGGCTTTGCTGGAGGATTGCTTTGGTGTAGGTTCCAGTACGTATGAACTCAGGAAATTGTCTTTTATCTTTAGTTTAATTACTTCTCTGCTTCGTTGTAGGTGCGTATAGCTGCAAAATTCATCACTCATGCACCCCCTGGAGAATTCAACGAAGTATTCAATGGTAAGTGAATAAGGAAAAATGATGGGTGGTGTTTTCTTCAAGTTCGGTCTATTATAAGAATCTCAGGCTGTGTCATAATATGTTGCTTTTAAGGTGAGGGAAAAGCGTGCTGTCATTCTGGGACTACATATGCTTTAATTGTTGTAATGTTTGCATTTGTACAGTTGAAAATGAAATGTATAAAGAGAAACATTTGGTCAAAAAATCCAATAACCTACCCGAACTCTCTCTTCTCCAGATGTCCGGTTATTGCTTAACAATGACAATCTTCTCAGGGAAGGAGCAGCACAGTAAGTACCAGAATTTCAAACACGTGTTTCCTCACGCCCATCATTCTGTAACAAAGCGAGCCATTTGTTGTATGGAGAGCAATCTTCTGTAGTTCCTGTAGACAAAATAAATAATAAAAGGCATGGATGATTCTTTTTAAAAGCCCTAGATTAGAATTTGTGCTGTAGAGGCCGTATAAAACTGTCAGGAAGGCACTCTGCCAAAAAGTTTAACTCGGCAGCAGCAGGAATGTCTGATCTTGTTGGAGCATGATTTGTAAAGCAAGTGAAGCCTGAAATACTGAGTAATCCTTAGCTGAAGTTTAGAAAAAGAACTGCCCTCAAACAAAAAAAAAAAAAAAAAAAAAAAATTTACTTGCCCAGCCTCATCAGAAGGGCCTTAAAGGTTATGCACAAGATTTTTGCTACCAAGATTTTACTTCAAGCTAGGTGGCGTATCAGTCAGCAGGTCTTTACATAAGAAAATTGTTGTAAATATTAGTCTACCTGTTTGTTTACTTTGCTACTGTCTAATTGTAGCTGGGGTGTTCCTGTTTTGCCCTGACTTGCTCATATTCCCCCGGGCTGCCTGCTGTTCTACTTTTGAACTCTGTACTTCCCTGGTCATTAAATAAACCTGGCTTTAGACCTGGGATTTTATAGCTATCATCAATAAAAGGCATTGAAAAATCCTTTAAGAGTGCTTGTGTGTATTATTTGCCAAATTAAGTTGAAGCTTTCTGTAACGTAAACCACACCATGTACTTGGTTTTGAGGCCAAATAAATGAGCGTGTACAATAAAGTTCATGTTCTTTTCGTTCTTAACAGTGCATTTGCACAGTATAACATGGACCAGTTCACTCCGGTGAAGATAGAAGGGTATGATGATCAGGTAAGAGAAAACTTTTTATACTTGAGGTTTATGTAACTACACTGTGCAAAACCAATAAAAAATGTTGTTTCGTCAAGATGTTGACTAGTTTCATTCTAATCACAGGTTATCAGCTCTCCTCCTTCCCACACACATTATATTACCAAACTTCTGCTCTCATAGAAGCAGCATGGGTGAAATGTTCTCTGGAAGCACGGTCTGATACTACCTGATAACTAATTCATTGCTCCTTGAGTAAAGCTCCATGCTGAGGTCGCTGGAATTCTACTTACAGTGTGAATGATTAAAGATTACTGTTTATTTAAAAGCTCACTTACAAATCCTTGTGTTGCTGCCTGCATACAGTTCCTACCAACAACCGGTAGCAGATTCTTAATAATATTTTCTTTTTCATTTTTAATCCATTCTCAGCTACTCTAAAAAACATATGGTGCCTTTGATGATACCAAGCTAATACTAGCCAGTCTATGCCAGCAAAACAATTTTTTTTCCTTTTTTTTGAGAACAAGCAGCAAGTCCTCCAGAAGATAGAAATCTGGCCTGCCCAGCTGTTCTCTTCTCTGAGCCAAGTACTGACCTAGCTTCTCTGGTGTCCCAGATGGCAGGCAGATATTTTTAAGACAGAGCTTTGACAAGCAGAAGTTACAATACAACCTGCAAATAAAATTAAAAAAAAAAAAAAAGTCAGTGTTTGAGAAGCCAGAGAATCATGGTGCCTAAGACAAAGGAGACACAGCTGCTTTGCTGTGTGCTTCAGCATGTGTGTGTGTGTTAGAAGTAGCCACGGCTGTATACCCTTCTTGACCAGAAGGAGAGCTGTTGCAACACGGAACATGACAATAAACGGTAAATTCCAGAGTAAAATTCTTTGTTTCCTATAGAAACGGGGAAGGAAAACAGCGAAACTAACTTCAAAAGCAAACCTAGCTGTTTGTATTGTAAGGATGTCCAACGTTAAGCTAAATACATTGTTGTTAGAATCCAGCCATTTCTGGGACACAAGGCCAGGTGCAATATTACTGCGAAGAGCAGAAAGTTTACCTACAGCTTCACTACAACTACTGTTAGTTGAAATTATTGCTGAAAGTCCCCGTTTCTTTATGTGATGCTATAGCTCAGTGAAAAGAGCAGCTGAAACGTTGATGTCTCTTCAGATAGTCAGAGAAAACCACAAACCAGCACATTTACAGCAGCGTAAGCATATCTTCATTGCCGCTTTTTTTTACAGGTCTTAATCACAGAACATGGTGATCTGGGCAATGGCAGATTTTTAGACCCAAGAAACAAACTTTCTTTTAAGTTCGATCATTTAAGGAAAGAAGCAAGTGACCCCCAGCCGGAGGACACGGAATCAGCTTTAAAACAGTGGAGAGATGCCTGTGACAGCGCGCTGAGGGCTTATGTGAAAGATCATTACCCCAACGGCTTCTGTACTGTGAGTGTCCGTCACTGGAAGTTCGTTGCTCTGGGGCAGGCAGGACCTCGTGGACTTTGTGCTGGGCCGTGCTGTTTGAATTCTCCATCTGCACTGGTGTTTTTGCTAACTTTGGAATAACAAGTTCCAAGGAAGGTGCAAATGTCTTGGTGTGCAGGCAGCGGTAAAGATGTACTAGGCCGTATTTTCCATAGCCAGGGCTGCCAGGCACCGTCAGGCCTGCAGTTAATGAAAGGGAGGCGCTGATGCACCTGCGTGAGTGGAGGTGTTGGGCAGTGTCGGTAGTGGGACAGGTTCCCAGTGAGATGCCACAAGAGCACGCCTCCGCAGTGCTGCCAAGAACAGAAATTAAGAATGGCTTTCCTCAGCTCTTGGGCCTTTTTAACTCTTTTTCTAAATACAGGTTTATGGTAAATCTATAGATGGGCAGCAGACAATTATTGCCTGTATTGAGAGCCACCAGTTCCAGCCCAAAAACTTCTGGTAAGACTATTTCAACATAGTGTATTTTCTTCCTTGACTAGTCCTCAAACCAACCCATCCTCTGTGTCTTCTGACACAGTCTGAAGGACGGGTAGGCTTCGGCTTCCCGAGAAGTTCTGCTGCTCGGCCTCGCAGCCCCCACGGCCCTTCCTAAAGCCATGGCCGTGGCTGTCACCTGCCCAGAGGGGGGTGTCAGTGGGGTGGGACAGGGACCCCCACACGTGTCCAGAGCCCAAGCACGCTGGACTGGGCCCCCTGGAGCTGTGCTCTCACCTGCACTGCAGAAACACAGTTCAGTGCCGTGTAAGGCACTGTGACACTGGTCATAAGACAGAGGGAGCTCTTGTTATTTGGGTCTTTTTGTTCTTAGAGCTTTCTGGAAATAGTTTTCATGCTTGGCTTGTTTGTAGGAACGGTCGTTGGAGATCGGAGTGGAAGTTTACCATCACACCGCCCATGGCTCAAGTGGCTGCAGTGCTCAAGATCCAGGTGAGTTACTTTTTCTGGCAACAAGAGGAGAAGCTGCACTGTGCTTCTCTTACACAAGTGCGTTCGACTCAAGAGTGAGGTGCCGGGGTACAGCCGAGATGTCCTCCTCAAGATGCTATTAAACTATACTATTCAGTAAATTAATGCTTAAATCTAGTGGTTTGGACATCATCTACAATCTGGCCTGTGGTTTATTATGTAGCATTTCCCAGTGTGCCTCCCAGTCTGCTTCACTTTATAGGGCTAAAACCTATACCGTGAATTCTTTTATAATTGCTCTTATTTCAACTCTAGGCATTAACATAATCTTGAACAGTCTTGACAAAGAATGAAACCTTTTAGAAAATCCATCCTGCTTTTAGTCTCCACGTAAGCAGAGAAGACTGGCACAGCGGTGCTGTTGTGCCATTCTGGTAGCATTTGGGGGCTCTAGGGATTATGAAATGAGTGTTAATGATAACCTGCAATTTGTCTCTTTGTTCAGGTTCATTACTATGAGGATGGCAACGTTCAGCTGGTTAGTCACAAAGATATCCAGGACTCTGTACAGGTTTCAGTAAGTATGCCGAGAGATTTTTTTTTTTAAGATAAGGAAACTGTTCTGATTCTTAAACATCTCATGAAGCATACACTGCTACTATGACTGCATTCTCTTGATTTTAATGTAGTTTTAGAGTGACTAGGCAGTGTAGTCGTAGTGTTTGTAGAGTTATGTTGGAAACCCAGATTCTCAACTGCTTAAAGTGCGTTAGAAAGTACAGTCTCTGCTGGAACGTTTATCTGACGAGTTCCAGGTAAAGAGGGCAGAATATGCTTTCCCATCTATACACAAGGGGAACGAATAGTCAGAGCAGTGTACAAGGGAAGGTACAAAGTCCGGCAGTACAGCAGATGGAGCAGCAGTCACGAAATCCCCAACTGTACCAGGAAGGTTCGCTTCCCTGCCGGCACTAGGGTGCAGTCCGGGTTCAGTGTGGAGCAGGAGCTGCAGCCAGAGGAGCCCGGCTGCAGACACGGGGCAGAGCTGCCGGTGTTACCCACTGCATCTACCTCGGCCTATTGTTTGAGAAGAAATCTCTTGAGTAGCTTTTGTAAGTTGCTCTAAAACATATAAAAATGTGTTTTTCCCTTTGTAGAGCGATGTCCAGACAGCTAAGGAATTTATTAAGATAATAGAAAATGCAGAAAACGAGTATCAGGTAAGATCAGTGGTGGCGAAATACACGATAGAATCGTGTCAGTCTCCATTTTCTGTTAATGGAAACATGGAAAATTGACCTCAGTTCTGTTTGTGGCTGAACCTGATATTGACTGTAAGAATTACTTAGAAAAGGGCAGTAGCATTTGTTTAAATAAAGAACCTAGTCGTCAAGCTGTGTGTAATTATTAATCAGTTTTGCTGTATAGTTATATTAAAGGGTTACAAATGGTGCCTGGAACAAGCATGGAAGGGGGGTGAGCGAGTCTAAATGTTTTCTTCTGCGACAGTTAAAAATACTGGAGAGGAAACTTGTGTGACAGCTTGACAGCTTTTTACGCTGTTCCAGCCTGTGTGTGAGGAGACTCGGTGCAGAAAAGGCAGTGGAGCACCCGAGGAGTCGCTGCCACCTCCACAGGGGACTCAGACACCCCTGCGCTTGCACACGCGCTGGTGCCTGCATTTTATTTGGGTCACTGGTGTGCCTTGGCCTCGTAGGAAGGGTTTGGGGGGTTCTGGAGTACCTCACTCCTGTGGTAACTGAACCTCCTTGCCGTTGCAGACCGCGATCAGTGAGAACTACCAGACGATGTCAGACACCACGTTCAAGGCCTTACGCCGGCAGCTGCCCGTCACCCGCACCAAGATTGACTGGAACAAAATCCTCAGCTACAAGATCGGCAAAGAAATGCAGAATGCTTAATGCAGAAGTGAGGGGGTTTATGAAATGTTTGTGTGCAAAAAAAACAAATGTGGTCCTATGCCAAGTAGATGGTTTCTAAACCAGTGCAGCATTTTTCTAGGGCTTTCAAAGTTAACAGGTTTTCTAGCCTCAGAGAGAACTGTGGAACAAATAGTGTTGTCTTTGTGTTTTGTGTTTCCTGCCACATAAACTTCCTGTCGTGACTGCATTTACTGGTAGGTCAGTCGAATTAAGCCACGTTCATGGCTCAGACGTGTAGCTGTTCTCACTCACCCGATTGTACCGGTTGGAAAACTTCCTAGCTGGAAAAGCCCTACCACCAACCCGGGGCGGGGGCAGAGCCTTCCCCCGCCCGCCTGCAGCTCTCCAGGTACCCAGCAAGTCTGTCCGACCTGCCAACCGCTCCAGGCGCTCTGCTGCCAGAGTCACAGCGAGTCCTCCGCTGCCCTTCCCGCTGCCCTCCACAGAGCAAAAACCTTGCAGGCTCAGATTTTACTGTACCAAATGAGTTTACGGGATCCTTTACAGAAACCCCCAAGCAGCCAGCTCTTCCAGGGACGTAATTTTTTTTTTTTTTTTAATCTGAAGATTTGAGCCATGTTCCCTAAAAGTGAACATTTTTGCTCTCCCCTCCCTCATGTATGTACGGTTATCAGACATCTGCATTTTTACAGATCTACAAGTTCTGGGGTTGAATTACTGCTGCTCCACATAGGCTGGCTGGTGATTAAAAATGCAAATGTCAATGGAATAATAGGTATGTTGTGCTTTAATGCTTTGTGGCAGGTTCATAGAATTTGTATCACAGGTGTATGGATGGATAGTGTACAAAATAAATAAACTTGCACCAAAGTGAGAGAAAAAACCCTTTCCGTTTTGTCTCAGTTGTGGCCAGTTTCTTGTCATGCTTAAAGGGGGTTTTGAAATTAATCTCTTCTTTGCTCTCTAAATGCTTGCTCTATGTTACTTTTTTTTTTTCTGTAAAATGAGAAATGGCTGTGTGTGTCCCCCGCCTCTCGGGGGGAGGTTGAAGGGGCACTTGTGTGCCTTTCCCAGTCAGAACTCGGAACGTGGATTCGCTGTGGAATTAAACCCTTTTGGGGAACTCCCTTGGCTTTCTTTGCACCTGGTTACCTCTGCCCTTCCTGCACGTTCTGGTTTTTAGACTGGCTGCTGTCTTCCTATTTTTAAAAATACAGAGAAAGGGGGTGGGCAGCTAGGGATGGGACCGGTGTGCATTACACTTCGTGTTTGTTTTGCACGGTAATACCACAAAGTAAGTGTGTCTATCCTTTGTGAGAAGTTTTGTCTAAATACCGTATATTTGTATCTGCTGTTGAGACTGGCCGTTGGTCCTGCAGGCCTCCTCTGTACCGCAGTCTGGCAGAAATACACTGCTCTTTCTTTTGAAGCCATTTGTGTCTGTTCTTGCGTGGTCTCGCTTCTCTTGGTGCCCGATGGCAGCAGATCTGCAGGAGGGGGGGGAGTGTTGCCTGCAACCCCCCCCCTCCCCAGTGATGCCCCCACGCTGGCACCCGGAGCAGGGAACTGGAGGCCTGAGGGCTCCCAGATGAACAGAAAACCAGTCGCTCAGCTCTGATGGAGCACTTCACCCCGGGGAAAGCGGCGGGTGAGGTTCCTCCGCTCATCACCTGAGCCCCGCCGGGATGCGCCCCGCCTCTCTGCGTACCCCTCCTCTCCTCGCACCCGTGTTCTCCTTGGACCCCTCCTCTGCTCTGCTGGTGCTGCACAAAGCGGGACTGTCTGGAGGATCCGGAGCTGCTCAAGGACAGGGCTCTGCCCGCCGGTGTTTGGACAAGGGTTTCCTCCCTGCAGGGGCGCCGGGAGGAGATGAAAGGTTACGCGGTGCGGGCCGGAGAATGTGAAGCCGCAGCGGGCCCAGATAAAGCCGGGCACACAACGGGGCTTTTATCTGCCTCAAGGCTGGTCCTCTGCGGGTTACACTGTACTTGTCTTGTTCCGGCCTTAAGACCGGCTCTATCTCTTTGTTCTTCTCCAAATCTTTAGCTAATCATCCTCTAGGCCGCTGCCTGCCGCCCAGCCCTTCTCTGCAGCTGGCCCAGCCCCAGCCCCTTCCCAGCTCTTAGTCCTTTCCCTGGCCCCGGGGCACTGAACAAAGCCCCAGAGGCAACCTAATCCTCCAGGCCACTGGCTACCGTCCGCTGGAGACCAGAGGCTTCAGCAGCGACTGAGCCCAGCTCAGCACAGCCTGTCCCGGGCTGGCCCAAAGGCAAAGCCCGGCCCAGGTGAATCCCAGCGAGCCGGGACTGGAGCCTGGCTGGGCCGGGGGAGGCAGCGCCAGCCCAGGCTGCCCAGCGAGGAAAGGCTTTTCCTCTGTTCGCGGGCTCAAAGAGCAAACAGAAGGATTCACGAGCAGCCTCTCCAGGGGCAGCAAATCAACTCTACGGCTCGGAGTTCTAAGGCTGGCGTGTTTATTCCGGCCGGGGTGCAAGGGGATGATTTCTCCACAAAGCTTGCGCACCGTCTCTGGCAAGTACCCAAATATTTCTTACAACAAAACACACACATTCGTTAGGAAGGGCTGGGTTATTACAATCAGTTCGGGGAATAGGTGTGATTATTACAATTATTCAAGGGGAGAAGTACTTGATCTTCACAGCGCCGGCTCTGCCCGGGGCATGCGCTGCCAAGCAAAAGTCCAGATGTCTCCTCCGCTAAATGGGCGAGATCATCCTCTCTAGACAGCATCTCAGAGCCCTTTTGTTCAAGTTTAAGTTTGCCTAAGTGCCCATTGAGGGTTTTCCTTCTGCTACCGCTGAGTTGTCCTTTTAATTCACACCCCCGGGCTGCCTGCTACTTTCTTATCAGGGCCAGTCCCCGAGCTATCTGGTAAACCCCAGTGAGTCCATAAAACAAGTCTGGGCAAGCGGGATTCTTAGACAACGCTCAGGAACCACCACGCCTTGCTGCAATAAACAATCTGCAAGGCAAGTGGCCATTTCTCTGTATCAGCACCCCTGTTTTTCAGGGCCCGGAGCGAGGGGCCCTACACTGTCGCAGCGCATCAGCCACCTCCAGGCAGCGGCGGGGGCAGAGGAAAAGCCACCCGAGCCGAGGGGGGGGACAGCGACTCACCCCCGCACCTCGGGGCACACAGGGCGCCGGGAGGGGCCGCAGGGTCCCGAGCCTCACGGCAGCAGGTCGGGGCTCACCGACCCCCCAGGCAGGCTGGAGGGGGGCGGCGGGGAACCCAGACCCACAAACCAGCCCTTCCTGCTGCCGCCCTAACTCCAGGGCAGCCGCGGAGCCGTGGCAGCGCTTCCC